ATGACCACAATGCAGTCCTTTTTCTTCTATTCTCCTCTCAGGATCTTGGGTACGCACGCACACGCACCCAGGAGAGTTTAAGCCTTCGGGTCCGGGACTCAAACTGCAGTCAACTAGTGCCAGTGATGTAGCCAGTACGCCATCTGCTGGTCCCTTAGTTACATATTTAAAAGAAAAATTTGGCAGAGTACCAGAGGTGGTGTGGAGGTTAAGGTGACTGGATCCCACATGGTCAATTGTGTGATTTGGGTTCTGGACCACTGGGTGCATGTGCGCACATACCTGAAATCCTGAGTGGAGAATGGAGGAGAAGGAATTGTGGCATGACAATCACCACCTGAAGGTTACTTCTAAATTCTGTCTTTTTCTGTCTCTGGCAAACGCATGTGCCCTATGCAAAACCTTAAAAAAATTGCTAGTGGTTTGTGTGTGCTTGCTGGTGAGAGCAAAAAAGAGACAGAAAGGAAGCACGCCCCTTGCCCCAATGGGAATGATCCTTTTCTGTCTCTTCAGGATTTGGGGTAGGTTCATGCTCTTGGCATTTTTTGTTTGTTTGTTTGTTTGGAGACGTTTTTGCTATAGGGCACGTGCGCTCGCCAGACAGAAAGAGACAGAGATTCAGAAAGCGAGAAATCACCCCCCAGGGGGGATGGCCATGCCGCAATTCCCCTCTCCTCCATTCTCCTCTCAGGATCTTGGGCATGCGTGTACATGCACCTGGCGTGAGTTCAAGCCACCGGGTCCGGTATGCAAACCGCGGTCAACTATGTGGGAGTCCAGCGACATAGCCATTACGCTAACTGCTGGTCCCTTGGCATGTTTTTTAAGCCACTGGGTCTGGGACTCAAACTGCACAGTTAGCCATGTGGAATCCAACTGTCTTCCACACCACCATAGGTTGACTCTTTTATCTTTTTTTTTTAAAGACAAGGTCTCTGAATGTCTTGGTCTTCCTGTCTCAGCCTCCATCTGGTATTACAAGCATTTTCTACCTGCTTTACCTGTTTTTAGAGAGTTTCACTGCCATCAAGACAGCCTTGTGGTCCTGAGTCTCCTGAGTGGTCACAGCCTGCAGAGCATGTCATCCTCTCATGTGCCACTGTGGCACTCACTGTAGTTAATAATTTAAAATGCCAGCAGTAATAAAAGTTCACATTTATTTACTGCTTCCTGTTAGGCACTTAATTCTTGGAGTTCTAATTTTATAGGTGGAAGGATTGTTGAAAAGCAGAGACAGTGTTACTAGCCCAAGTTTGTGAATGTTGGAGAATTTTCTCTACTGAGAATTGGTAAAAGAAACTTCGAGTTTTTCTTTTAGTCATTGACTCAAACATTCACTCCTTCAAATTAAAATAAAGCACTTTCAAAATCTGTTACATTTGTCTTTGAGGGACCTTTGTTAAAACACACTTTGTGGTGCTCAACAGGTGGTGTGGTGGTTGGGGTGCTGGACTCCCACATGGCTAACTATGGTTCGAATCCTGGACCTGGGCGGCCTACTTTCCCACTACCCCGCACCCACCGGCTCTGGACTAAACAAAAATAATGATGAATAAAATTAAATAAAGTAATTCTTTATAAAAAACGCACTTTGTGAATTTGTATGGTTCAATTAGAACTAGTAAACTGAAAGGTTTATTTACCTTTTTCTCTGTAAAAGATTTCTAAGTGGCCAATTTTTCTTCCTTTTCTTAACTTAGCGAGCATCTTTACTACTTGAAAAACTGTTGGGAACCAGTAGATGGCATAATGGTTACGTCACTGGACTGCCACATAGTCCACCGCAGTTTAAGTCCTGGACCCGGTGGCTTAAAACTCATGCCAGGTGTGCATGCCTGCTTGTGTGCATGCCCAAGATCTTGGGAGGAGAAGGAATGGGGTGTGGCCATTCCCCCTGAGGATTGGTTTTTTGCTTTCTGTCTCTGATGAGTGCACACACCCTATAGCAAAAAAACCTAATAAAGTTTTGTTTTTAAAGAATTCTTTTATTTAACTTTATTTCTTTATTTTAATTTGGCCAGAGAGGGGTAGAGGAGAGACAGAGAGAGGGAAAGTGAGAAAGCAAGCCATCAGATCCGAGACTCGAATCTCAGCCAGCCATGTGGGAATCCAGCACCTTAACCACCATGCCACTCGGTGACTTCAGAATTTGTTTTTCTTTCTTTTTTTTTTTTGGAGAGGTTTTTGCTATAGGGCGCGTGTGCTCGCCAGACAGACAGAGACATAGAGACAGAAAGCGAGAAATCACCCCCCGGTGGGGGATGGTCATGCCGCAGGCCCTTCTCCATTCTCCTCTCGGGATCTTGGGCACACACACACTTGCCCGGCGTGAGTTTTAAGCCACCGGGTCCGGGACACGAACCACGGTCGACTACGTGGGAGTCCAGCGACAGCCATTACGCTAACTGCTGGTTCCCCAGAATTTGTTTTTTAATTAAAAAAAAAAAGATCAAGGGTTAGCATATATTTACTTATTTATTTGGGTTTTTGTTAGGGTGCTTGCTGTGTTTGCCAGAGAGAGTGAGAAGTCACCCCCTCCCAGGGGAGGTGACCATCCCTTAGTCCCTTCTCCATTCTCTTGAGTTTGTGGGTATGCACATGCATCCAGTGCGATTTTCAAGTCAGTAGTCCAAAAACTTGAAATGAGGTCAGTTGTGTAGGAATCAAGGGCCTTAACCATCATACCCTCTGCTGGCCAAAAGGTATAATTTTTAAATAAAATTTAAGATTTTCCCTATCATAATACAATTTCTGTATATAACAGCATTCACAAATATTGTTAGTATTATAAATGTGGATATAAAATTTTTGGAAAGTAAACTTCCTTTGAAAATAAATGTTTTGGGATCAGCAGTTACATAATGGCTATGTCGCTGAACTCCCATGTAGTCAACTGCGGTTCAAGTCCCTGAACCAGTGGCTTATACTTACTCACACCGGGTATGCGTGTGTGCCCAAGATCCTGAGAGGAGAATGGAGAAGGGATTGCAGTGTGGCCATCCCCCCTGGGGGGTGATTTCTTGCTTTCTGTCTCTGCCTCTCTCTTGTCTCTCTGGCCAACTCCCTGTAGCAAAAACCTCTTCAAAAAAGAATGTTTTTAAACCTCCTCTTCAATTAATCTTCCTAGATTTTGTTTCTTGCTAATTTTACTATATCATAAAGATTTCATTTATATATCATTCTTAGGAATTTTAATTGAGTGGCTTGTAATAATATCTTCTAGAGGTTTGTCCTTTTGATCTGAAAGCAGTCTGTGAGGTGGAATGTCTTTAAAAATTTGCTTTGTATTCCAAAAATGACACCCTTTAGGAGGTCCTCTAGCTATCCCATTAACATGACAAAGGAAAGGTTGCTGTTGATAGTTCAAATAATAAAATTTGTTTCCTTTCCCTGATTTTGGTACAGGCTTCATGTTCCAGCTAATTACATAGTCATTGGTATGCTGTTAAATTAGGAGCAGCCAGAGAACACGTTATAGAAATTTCTAAAACTTCTTTAGAATGAACAGGATTCTGGTAGTGTTTAATAAATGAGAGAGACTCTTGGAACATTTTAGTGTGTGTTTTTGTGATCTGTAGTTTTTATAAAACACATTACATCAGTAACTGGCAGAATACTTATTCTTTCTGTGATGAATTTGTTTTTGCTTATATTCATTATGTTTAGATTTGATAGAATTGACAGTTAACAGATTAGATTGAGATTAAAGGCTTCTCAGAAGGTATTATTTAGTTCACATTTTTCACATGGCTTGTGTTTTATGTTTGGGCCAGAAAAGATAAATATTAAACAAAATGTTTTCTAATAGAACTGATTAAGTTAATTACATAGATTCATCTTTGGGTCTCCAAAAGATTATTAAGATAATTGCCCTTGACTCTGATATTGCCACAAAGAATAGTTTGTTGTATTTTTTTTTGGAGAGGTTTTTGCTATAGGGCGCATGGGCTTGCCTGAAGGACAGAGAGACAGAAAGTGAGTAATCACCTCCCCCCAAGAGGGATGGCCATGCCACAAACCCCTCTCCATTCTCTCGGGATCTTAGGCACACATGCACACACACCCCGCATGAGCTTGAGCCACTGGGTCTTAGGATTCAAACCGCGGTTGGCTACCTGGGAGTTCAGTGACATAGCCATTATGCCAACTGCTAATCCTCTTAATTTGGTTTAATAAAATTATGGTAAGATGAATGTTGGAAATACATAACTTTGAGGTTCTTGTATCCAGTTTAAGAAAATTGAGTATTGGGGATAATGATGAATTTTTTTTTTTTTTTTGGTAGAGGTTTTTGTCTTAGTGC